ATTTCCAGTATGCTACAAAGTTCATTCTGTGAATTTTTGTTAAGAAACTTTCTGTTCTGGAATTTCTGTTTGGTTCTTTTTCAAAGTTCCAGTTTCATTCCAAAAAATCCCCACCTTCCCTTTATTCATTGACAGCACCTATGGAAGTTCTTTTAAAGTCCTCATCTGCTAAATAAAATACCTGGATAATGTTGGGGTCATTTCATTGACTGCTTTTTTTCTCTTATTGTGGGTTCCATTTTCTTGTTTCTACGAATTCTATTAATTTTGTACTTATATTGAAATTTGTAGGTCATGCATTCTAGAAATTATGTGTTATGTTGTCTTCCTCCATAAGACATTGATTTGCCTTTCAGGAAGCAGTTTGGTTACTGGTTGGTCACCTCATATTCCACACACTTTGCATGTTGTTAGTTTTAACCTCAGTCCTAGGGGATTCATTAGATTTGGGATACAGTTTTACTCACAGAGTGGCCCTACTGAAAATTTAATAAAAGCCAATGTGACTACCAAGTTTGGTGAGATTCAGACTCTAAGCCTTACTTTTCCTGAGATAAGCAGCACTGAAATTCTCAGCTCTTTCAGCTTTTTAGATCCTCCTTCCTCCCACACCCATATGTGGGCAGTCCAGAGTTCAGCCAAGCATTGGAGGATATTTACACTCAGATCCCAGGCTTCTCTCGCAGTGGCCTCCTTCTCTCTTCCCTAGCAACCCTTCACTCACTTCCTGACTCCTCAAGCCAGTATGAAGATGTGACTTCCCAATGAGTTCCACCCGGTAACATGCTGTGGAAGGCTGTCCAGTGACACTATGAGCGGGAGCTTTACCCACTAAAGCCCCACCCCAGGTTATGCTAGCTGAGCTGGTCATGCTCCAGGATGTCCAAAACCGGGTGTGTGCATGTGTACACTGGTGTACGCTTGCACACTCACACTTATCTCCAAAGCCGACCATTATGATCTGAACAGGATCTTTTCAATGTAGCCATTCTTCTGTGACAGACAGCAGAACTTTTACACTACTATTTTAAAATTTCATTTAGGCCAGGTGTGGAGCTGTGCACCTGTCGCTACTGAGAAGGCTGAGGCAGGAGGCTCACTTAAGCCCAGGAGTTTGAGACTAGCTTGGACAACACAGTCAGACTCTTTCTCAAATATAGGTGTACATATTATAGATATGAATATATGTATACATATATATTAAGTTAATGTTCATGTAAATGAATCCTTACCATTTCATAAGTGTATTTAACAGTATATATTAAACAATAAAACCAGAATTAAATATAAATTTAAAGTAAAAGTGTATTTTAAAGTCATAGTTGATAACAATGGAAATGATTAAAAGAGTGTTCTAATTAACCCTTATACCAGAACTTGGCATCTAAATAACAATACCTCTTATCAATAATGATATTGTCATAAATTATTTTTATCTTTAGAAAATTAAATTGCAGAGCTCTGAAAGCTATGCTTTACTGGATTAGAGAAATAGTTGGAGAAAATCTAATTTACAAACAAACTTTCTATCAAAATCTTAAGACACCATTAAATTAGTTCTGAGTGAAATAATTTATCCCATGTTTCTATATAAGTGTCAAAGAAGATAAAAATGTTATAATATAAATCATATCTTATCACTTCTATTTATTAATTTCCTCTGGTCTCATTGGTGTCTTGATTCTGTAATCCAAACTCTATGGTTACCATAGATGCTTCACATTCTCTAAAAATATTCCTTTGGGGAGCTGGAGAGCATTTACTTTTGAAGCAGTTTCACAATGATATATGCATTAGATCTGTATAATGGACAGAGTCCGTGAAAATATGTCAAGCTTGGCTGGCATGCTGACGATTAGACATTTACTGTGAGAATTTTGCAGTCATAAAACTAAATGTGTTGTTAGTTAACTGTTCTGTATTCCAGAAGGTAAGAGCATATTAGATTCATGGTGTCATTTTCAGAATTTGATGTAAATGGTACTGTCACAGAAGAGCATGGTGCCATTTACTGTTTACCTATTTGTTCTACTCATACTTGTCAGATTTGGGGTAGTGTGTTGAAAATATTGGAACCTGAGAACCAGAAGTCATCCTGTCTGTCTCTGCCACAGATCTGTCACAGATCTTTCTTCAAAATTACTAATTCACTAGATAATCTGTCACTTTTTAAAGTAACTTGCAGCATGAGAAAAGTTTTATGTTACGTTGAGCCAAATATGTATCTCTTCTTAATTTCAATTTATTGTTTTCAATTTCATCTCAGTGAAGCTATTCAAATTAGTTCCTTTCCTATATTAGCTCAGAGCTCAGTACCAGTTTCTCATGTACATTCACTACCTGAATAAAGGATGGGACCACAAGCCAGATAATATTTCAAAAGAGATCCTTAATTTTACAAGTAATAAACTAAAGTTATTTTCTCCTTAAGCCATGGGCCTTTGGAACTCCAGGGGAGGTGAGAACTTACCTTGCTTAGAACAAGGATAAAATTGATTACTTTTTACCCTTAACATTGGCCTTGGCTTCTTTGGCAAGGCAATGGTGGTAAAGAAAGTCTTTGTCAGGAATGAAAATGCTGCTACGAGTTTCCCCACATCCTCTGGGATGGGCATAGCAGCTTGTCAATTCAACCAACATGTTCCTCTTCCTCCTTGCTAATTTAATGAGCATTAGTTGTTTGGTTTTTTTTTTAGGCATTTGCTCAGCACATGTTCTGGGAAGGTGGACTCCAGGGAGTGAATCCCAGTAGACTTTACATTATAGTAAACTTACTGTTCTTTCTGTGACTCATTTGAAGGTAGGTAGGTGGCCCTGTTTGTGGTTGGGGAATTCTGCTATATAAAAAGGAGATATATTTCCCAATGTAATAAAGGAGAGAAATCCCAAGAGAAAGGCCCCTTTGTGTCAATGCCCTTCTTATTCAGAATACTGTCATGGCAGCTTATGATACCTACAGCTGCAGTGGTTAATTTGTACCCTAGAGGTGACAAGCCTAGGAAAGACTAATCAAGATGATCAGAATGACACAGCAAAGGATCGATGACCTGGGAACTTAGGACCTCATGGATCCGCTTCTTGCTGCCACACTTGTGCTTGCATAAGGCAATTATCATAGATAGTCTGGAGTCCTCTTCCTTAAAGCTGAAAGAAGTCACACTTTTAGCATAGCAGAAGGTAGGCTTGAGGGATTAGATATAAGACTTGTATTTGATTCCTAGGACAATGAAAGAGAACATACAAAGAATAGAAGGTAAGAAGCAAGGAAGGACAGATAACCTAGGAGAACCAAGGAGGGAGATCTGTGTTCTGATGGCCCCTCCATGGTCAGAGGCAGGCACTGGAAAAGTTTAGGACAGGTATGATAGCAAAACATGTAACAACCAGTGTGGCAAATCACCACCACCACTGTGTACATTCATTGTCCCATGCTTACGAGAGTGTCTGTATCAGAGTAACATCAACAGCAGGGGGCATATAAGAAAAGGAAGAAAAAGTTTAGCTAATGTGCACTGTCCCCATACCCACTAAATTACCTGACATGAAGAGGACCCAGCACTCCTTGCATGCCTCTGACTGTCAGAAAGTCCTGTAGATGGCTGAGGTGAGAGCTAGTCACCTTGCATGTGTCTGCCTTGGTCCCAGGCAAAGTCACTCAAGCCAGGGGTCATGAAACAGTCAAGCAGAGTTGACGGATGCCCTGGTCAGTCTGGAGTACAATTGCACCCTGATTAGGCTGACCACAAGTTACACCTCCATCAGCAAATGCCACTTCTGTGACAAGGGCAGGCGTACCTCAGAGGCCTCTAGTATAGTGAGCAGTTCTGACAAGGAAGACCACAGAAGCCCCTGGGCTGGAAGCCCTGCTTCTTCTGGTTCAATTCCCCTCCTGCTTGTTTCCCTTGCTCTTGGATTCCACTTTGGTGCAGTTTGGGAAAGATGGGCAGATCCCAAGAGCTCTGGCTAGTTACATAGAGGGCTGTTCCATTGCTGAGTAGACCCATGGCATTATATACTCAATATTCTTTTTCTCCTCCCCTCCCAGCAGGGTTGGGGCTTTGTGAAAAGCTCAGAGCACTCATAGAAATATAAAGAAGTAAGATTCTCCATGTATCTGAGTGTCCCTGGAGCCAGTGTGGGACTGTGGAGCCCCTCCTTCCAGCTTGCCTACGAAGCCTTACCCAGCTAACTGCACCACAGTGGCTCTGCCTTCTACAGTCTGCAGTCATCACCATTCTCTGTGTGACTTAGCTTCTTGGTGTTATTTCTAACATTTATGTCCCCAAACTAAATAAGCATTCTAATATAATCAAGTCTGGATTTCATATGTGCTCATTAATCAGTTTTAAAGTAGCTGTATTTTAATTACCTTTAGTTTCTTTCTCCCACTAACTATTATCTAATTGATATTTATAGCCTACCTAATTCCAAAATAGTGGGAATTATCTTTGTAACTAGGTGCTATTTAAAATAGAGCAATCAGAGATTGCCATTAATCTGATAATCTTTGTGGCAGTTGGGTGATGTACTAATCAATCATAATCAGTAAAGAAACAGAAAAGCTTCTAGATGGTTAAAAAAAAACAAACAAACCTATGGTATTAGAGGATTTTGTACTTATCATGACATAAATAAATAAATAATAAAATAAAATAAGATCATGCCTGTGGTATGAGCAGCTTACACAGTGTGATCTCCTCCATAAAGGTCTTATATTAGAAGTATGTTTACTTGAGAATTTAAATAAATAGTCATGAAGAATCATCCTTTAAACACTTGATGAAATCTGTAAATATCCCTAGGATTCACTCATCCTCATTTGAGAGTCACTAGATAAAAAGTGTTGGGTGGGTCCATCCCTCTTGCTCTGGGTTGTGGCAATGCCTATGATAAGAAACACACTCTAGTATTTGAGCCTCCTGGGATGGCCACCACAGTGCATGTGGAAGACAGGAGTCTGAGGGGCAGGGGCAGGGGCAGGGGCAGGATGAGTTGCCTCCATGGCTGGGATTCCGGACAAGTTTGATGCCATCTTGATGGCAGATGAGAGATGAAAGAAACTGGACTTGAAGAATCACAGTGTCTACCACAGCAGACCCAGGAAGAAACAGGGCTGCGCCTGGAACCTATGTCTTCTAATGTGAGTTTAATTTTTTTCTGCTATACTTGACCTTGTCTTATGGGGCCTGGATGATAGAAGAAGGAAAAGTTTTACCAGAAAAAAGTACTATTTTTCTGTTTATTTGAAGAAGTGAGCTTCCCCATCACTGATTCCATGGTGAAGAATATCAGGAAGGCTATGAATAAGATAGTAATTTGGTTAGTACTGAAGGAAGACAATATAGCACATTACATGGAGCCAAAATTGGATCTGAGATGGGGCACTATCTAGGTTTTGCTCTTACATGGAACTATCTCTTGCACAATGGTGCCAGCAAGAAAGACAGAAAGATAAAGGTCTTGGAGTCATTGATTGGAATGATTGAGAAATTGTCTTACCATAGGATCACAAAGACTTAGACAACATTGAAGGAAAATTTAGACAACTTTGTTCATTACTTGACGTTCAACCAAACTTTAAAATTACACAGAAGGTTCTGAACTTTCATTTTGAGAATGACAGATGGACAAAGACAAAATGTCAGAGAATGGATGTCTGTATGTTAGGTGATCAAAGGCAAAACAACGAGGGGTATGCATTGTTTTGTAGAGGGTCATCTTGGCCTCCTTCCCCTAAGTTTTTTCGCCTGGGTCTCTAGAGATGGTCTACGCCTCCCCTCTACACCCCAGACCTGCTAGAGCAGGAAGCTACTTGCTGATAGTCCAGGGACTCAGTTTCAGGTCTCTCTGGGCCTGACCCTGGGATAGGATTACCCCAGGCTGGAACTGAGAGGAGGATTGTTTTAAAAGGAGACAGGGTTGACATGAAATAGGTTATGCAAAATCATAACAAGAATGTGGACGTCTGCTGTTGAGCTTTCTCAGTTGCAGGCAGTGTTGTGCGGTCAGTTTGATTTAATCTCTTTGGAAGCCTGGGAGGTAGGTACCACTTGCAAGGTACAGATGAGGAAATAGACCCTAGGGCTCCCCTAGCCCCGCATCCTGCAGTACCAGGAAGTGCTGCGTCCTTCAGCTTTCATGGTCAGAGCCTAGACCTTACTCTCCTGCAGACAGCCTGGTTCCTGCTGCATGTAAGGGAGCCCTGGGTTCTGCTGGGTTCAGTTTGCAATTGGCTGAGAGGAAGAGAGCCCATAAGGAGGGAGACTGGATATCTCCAAATGGGGGCTGAACTGCACAGCATAAAGAAATAAGAAGGGGGAATATTGTGAACCACAAACTAAATGTCAGGTTGAGGCTGTGAATATAAAAACTGAGGGACCTCATGCTTGGGACACAGATGTTCCTATCGGAGCTCTGCTGTCTGTCTTCATCAGTACCTGACGAAGGCATCATGCACAGTGTGGTACTGCTTGTGTAGCAGTCTGTCTTGACCCTCCTATGTGAGGTAAGTGGGTTTATGGGATGCAGATCTGCCATTCCTCTGGTGTCCCCAGGGTCACCAAACACTGGCTGCCCCCACTTTTCCTTTTCAACAGTGTGTCTGAATGCTGGGGAGGAGATGAAGGGGTCACCATGATGCATGCAAGTTTTGTTTGTTTTTGAGACTGGGTCTGACTATACGGACCTCGCTGGCCTTGAACTCATGATTCTCCTGCATCAACTTCCTGAATGCTAGGATTACAGGTGCACACCACCAGAATGGTGGGTTTTGTTTGTTTTGGTGGTACTAGGGTATGAACTCAGACCCTCATACTTGCTAAGAAGGTGATTTACCATTTGAGGCACATCCCTAGCCTATAGACAGCAGCTTTTAACATCCTTCCAGAACATCTTGCAAGAGTGTGCTGCAGGCTGGTGGTGTGGTAGTCTGTCCATGCATCCATCTACCCACTAGAAGAAGCCCTGTATGGGTCACCAAAGGCCATGTCCTCTCCTCTCAGTAAGGTGGTCCTGGCAGCAAGCCTGAGAGAGCCCCGGTGTGGGCTGCTGTACACACTGTGCCTGTGCCTGTGGCCTCTGCCCAGTCTGGGAAGTCCTTTAGGTCACTGTTTCTAGTCACTTCCTCAAAGCTGCTCCTTAGTGTGAGGACCAATCTTGGTGCTCTCCATGAGCCGGGGTTGCAGGGCCCTTGGATGTTGGGTTTCTTGGTGGATTCTTGTGTTTTCTAAGTCATCAGTTTTGATAATGTGTTATTTTTCTCATTGGAGAAAAATAAGTAGCATATTTCAGTGCAAAAAAAGGGGGAAAGAAAAAAGAGAAAAAGAAACACACTCTGACCTCTGACAGCAGTTCAGCATTCTAACTAATCATGTTGGTTACTTTCTTTTTAGTAACCAAGGTTCATTTGTTAACTCTGGGCTCTGACAGGAGTCTTACTACCAAGTTAAGTAAAAAAATTCCATTTTGTAGTTTTGTTTAGCTGTGGTTCCCTGAAACACTGACTGATATACCCAAAGGAAGAAAAAAGGCTGAATACTGTTTGGATTAAGAGTACTTTACACACAGAAAGGACAAACATCCTGAAAGGTACCAAGCCAAAAAAGATGCATGATGGATAACTTGTGAATCATTGGAATAATCTGGAATTGTAATTAATAACTTGGGATTCCTAATGTTCCATTCCATAACTCACTTAGACTCTAAATTTTCATATGAAATACCATTGACATAGCATAAAGAAACTTACTAGATATTTTTCTACATGAACAATATAAAAAGTTGGCAAAAAGAGACTTATTACTTAAGACTTGTAAAAATTTGCTGATAATAGATATAATTAAAGCAAGTATTCACAAAGCTAAATCTAGATGTAATTTAATCTCTATGTAAGAAAAGCACATACCTCATGTGGAAGACCCCACAACTGCCACTCGTATCTTGGAAAGAGACCTTTGCTCTTTAATATAAAACAACTTGAGCAATATTGTGCAATCCCCAAGCCTGATGTCTATTTTCTGTATTTTAAACTATACATTTTAATACTAATATCTTTAATTTTTCTCCTCTTCTTCCTTCTTCCCCATCTGCTTCTCCTCGTCCTCCTCCTCTTCCTCTTTCTCTTCCATCTTCCTCTTTTTCTCCTCCTCCTCATCTTCTTCCTCCTCCCCCTTCTTTTTCCCTTTCTGTTTCTTTTAAGATAAGCCCTCCAGATTGGACTTTGATCACACGATGAGGTGAGAGCTCACAAGGGAAGTATGAGGATAGGCAAGAACCGCCCCCCCCCAAAAAAAGGACAGCATTTGATGTCCTCAATGCAAAGGAACTAATGCAGAAACTTTAAATCAACAGAGGCCAAAAGGAGAAGGGGACCAGGAACTAGAGAAAAGGTTAATTCAAGAAGAATTAATTTAGAATGTAACACACATGTACAGGAAAGAAATGCAAGTCAAACTCCCTGTATAGCTATCCTTATCTCAACTAGCAAAAACCCTTGTTCCTTCCTATTATTGCTTATACCCTCTCTTCAACAAAATTAGAGATAAGGGCAGAATAGTTTCTGCCTGGTAGCAAGGGGGTAGAAGGGGAGAGGAGGAAAGAGGGGGTTGGGGGTAAGGAGGGAGAAATGACCCAAACATTGTATGCACATATGAATAAAAGAAATGAAAAAAAAAAGATAAGCCCTCTATTTGTTGACTCCTGGGAAGAATACATTTAGAAGTCAAGAACAGCACTGCCACAGCAGGAGAGGCAGATCTTTTTCATGTATAAGTTATTAGTCTGCAATGCAATAATGAATGTCTAGGTTTAAGATTGTCTTTTTATTCCTTTAGCCTGCTGAGCATGAAAACATCTTCCATGTTTCTCAGTAACAATGCAAATACAGCCTGTCTAGATAGAGTGGGCACATTAACCGTATCTGGCCATTTGGAGGTTATTTAATCCAAGGCAATTGGCCACAAGAACCCAGCAACCTTCCCTAAACATTGTCCCAGGCACCACTGTGTAGTGAAGTTCAAGCTGAGAAAAGTGCACTTCAAGAAGCTGGTTTGCAGGAGGGAGAGAGTAGGCTCTGTCTTTTTCAGAAAGGTTCAATTGATTCTTCATATGAAATACCACTTATTACTGGGACAGTATTTTATTAATGTAACCAGTTTTATATGAAAAGTTAGTTACTACGCATCTATGTATTCAAATTCTATTTTCAAAAATGTAGTGTTTAGACATCCTTGTCCATATTGATACAAATTATCATGCTGTTATTATAACGAATGACAAAATAAGCCTGCTCCTAGTCATACATTATGATGCATCAGTAAAAGACATCCTCTAAAAGTGTCTTTCACTTAAGCGTCCCAATACTCAAAATATTGTTTGGCAATAGTGACTTGCTATTTTAGGAAAGTGATCAGGATTGAAGTAGTCTACAATCAGCTGATGGTGCTAAGGACGGGTGGTAAAAGGAAATCATGTAGAGCCCCAGACAGAGAGGCAGATGAATGAGAGCCTGGGTGTGTGAATGGCACACCAAGGAAGAAGCAGATGTATAGGTCTAGAAATAGTGAGCAGTGATGGCCACAGGGAATGAGGGCCACAATGTACCTGGACCCTGAAGCAGGAGGTTTAAAAGCAGCAGAGAGTTAAGCAGAGCAGCTGCAAGTAGGAACAGGAGACTAGGGGAAGTGAGTGGAGTGGGGAAAACTTGAGGAAAGGCTGGGTAAGGTTGGCAGGAGTCATGGATGTTTGGATGTGGGCGGGTGATACAGTAAGAGGAGGACAAGTCCAAGTCTAGCTGAGCAGTGTTATAGATGGCTTTGGAGCTAGAGGAAGATTTGGCAGACGTTAATGCTGACTTCAGTTTCAGACTTGTCACCTGTGAGAGATCCCAGGCTGTGGTCAGGGCTCCACTTGGAAGGGAAGTGCCTAATTGCTAAGGTATGAAGATATTCATAGTTATCGCAGGCAGTGACATTCAGTATGCTAGCAAAAACACCCTCAAATGAACTGCGGTTTCTTTTTGAAATCTTCCACTGAAGTGCAAAATTTTCTGAATTTATAACAGGAAATCTGTATCAGTTCACAAACACAAGGCTATAATATTTTAAATTATATTTAGAAATATATTGCTCTTGCTAAAAATGCTAGCAGGAACAAACAAAATCCAGCAAGCCAATTCTGAGCCATGTTTTTCATTTTACCTCACCCAATTCCTTTTCAGACTTGGCAATCAGTGGCCTTGTGGGCATTCTCCAGTTTGACTTTTTCTTGCCCCTGCCTCCTTTCTGTGAAGTCCAATGTAATTAAGTCTGCAGAGAATGAGTTTCTAACTGGGCACTTCATAAATCCTGTGAGGCTTCACTGACATTACCTGCAATTGTTTGATCCATGGTAGATTACTGGAAATTCAGAGTGCTAAGTGGCATTTTCTCTTGATAAAAAGTCAGCCCCAAATGGTGCTCTCCAGATAATCCCTTTTCCTGTAGATTCATCTTACTGTTATTTCCTCAGGATCTTACCTCATGTGTGCTGTTACTCTTTGCTCCATTGGTCAATTGGAATTGGTGGCAGGAAGAGTTCAATCTTTCATGGAAATCTTACCATTTTAGAATTGCAAACATGATCATGTTTATTCATAAAAAATAGTCACTTTAAGTCCCAGG